GTCCAAAACTGCCATAAAGGTTGAATGATTTTTTCTGAATCCAAACTGATTATCAGAAAGAATGTTGTGTTTAGTAAGATATTTTATGAGTCTTACATTGACAACTCTTTCAAGAATTTTAGAAAAAATTGGGAGTATTGATATGGGACGATAGTTAGAGAATTTTTTGTTATCATCAGCTTTGAAAATGGGGAGGACTTTGGCAACCTTAAGTTGGTCAGGTACTCTGCCCGACTCCATTGATATATTGAAAATGTATGAAAGAATGGATGCAAGTGGCCCTGCAGCCACTGATTTAGATTTATTTAATAGTTCTTTCAACGTTTTCCAAATAGGTAGCTTTAATGCTGGTTTTAACAGATTTGAATTTATGATTATAAAAATGTTTCTTAGCTATCCTGAGAAGATGATTAAGTTTATTCTTGTATATTTTGTTCATATTTGGCTGTCCTATTTTGCAGGAATTTGCTGTAGAGTTTATTTTTAAATTTGATAGATTTAATTAATCCCTGTGTTATCCAGGGCTTTCGGGATTGGTGTTTTGTTAGTTTAACCTTTGTTAATGGAATATGCTGATTATACAAGGTATTAATGTGATCAGAAAAAAAGGGTATAGGCAGAGTTTGGGTCAGATGTGGAGAATACTGAACTCTCTTATTGTAGGAGCTAAATTTTACAATGATGGGTCGAGGCCGATTTTGATTCTGTTTTTTGGTGTTTAATCTATGCAATCTGTCCAGATCAGATTTGTTGATTGGTATGTTAAGCTTTTTGTGTTGAACAGGTTCACAGCGATATGATCAGTACCCTTCCCCCTTAACTTCAGCAGCACCATGTATAAGTATGCAATTTCGGTGGCCATATTGGTTGATGCTGTCTAATTAATCAATCTGTTGGAGCCGATTTTTTTCAAGATCAGCCACCAATTTTTCAAGTTTCGCGTTAAGTTCGGAGTACTTATCCTCTAGGCATTTCTGGTCATAAGATAGACTTTTGTAGACTTCTTGCTTGGCTGACTCACCGATTTTATTTACAATGGATTCAATTATATTTTCGTCTTTGACGAGTTTTTCCGTCACAACATTTATAAATTCCTCGGATTTAATAATGAGGTCCACAATTGTGCTGGAAAGCGCTTCAGCAATCTTAGATATTAGATCCCGGTCGGTAGAGAATAGTTTAAACAAATGTGATTTGATGTCTTCACCTTCCATCGCCATCTTGCCTTTTGAAGTTTGGCCTTGAGTGACACTCATTTTTTAACTATAACTTACTTCCGAGTACGTCATTTGTAGGAAATATTGTCAATTGTAATGAAATAATAAATTGAACAGTCAATAGCGAGTATATTTTGGTAGCTGATGGCTGATTTAGTTCATGGTATTAAACTTTATTGAGGAGCTCAGTAGGCACAACCGACAGCCATGACACAACTGACAGCCATGACAACTGTATGTCACAACCGACATCCATGACAACTGTATGTGACAACTGTATGTTCTTCATGTTCAAGTCTTTCCTATGCATTGATTGCAAAAGTTTCTTGGTTAAAATTAACTTTTGTAGAAGTTCATGATAAAAAGGAAAGCAAATTATTTTCATTAGCGTCCTGTACGAATTAAATTTGTTTAATTTCAAAGTGCAAGTAATAAGTTGAAGCTCGAGTTGAGAAGTTTATAAATATCGGCAAAAAGCAGTTAATTTCAATTCACATTTAAAAACGTTTTACATAGAGTTTCGTTTTGAATTTTACATTAAAATAAACCCATAGAAGCCAAAATATTATACCTACTTTATATATTTTAGAAATTGATAGTTCTGTATTTAAAAGTGTTCAAATTTCATATATTTTTTCCTGGTTTGTACAAAAAATTAAAAAACAATTATTGTGTTAACATGACGTGGCAACGCGAGCCTGCGTTCAGTGTTGGTGTAACTACAAATACTTCATGTTGACACAATGTTTGGAATATATAGGTGAGGGTTGTTAAATGCATGTATTTCTAGTATGTGTATATATCACGCTCATTAACTGAAATTACTTTATTATGAGCCGACCAGCCAAATAATGGGTAAACACTTGTTCAGGTTCTTGGTAAATTTAAACTTTTTAATCAAGGCTGAACATGTAATAAATACTTGATATTTATGATACAATATTCTGCCAGTTGCCTACAATTGGTGACAAAAGGTTTTTGGACAGTGGTATAATATATACATATCTCCGCATTTCCAAATACTGTTCAGCATAAAACCACCATCCCTCCCTCCCCCACCCTAAACAATGTTGGGTGGCTGGCAAGTTACATTTTGCGCAGGTATTTCCACACACAACATTGAACGGGGGTGCAGGGGGTCGTTTATGTTGTAAATGTATGCTCTGTTGCTATTTTGTCCAAAGTGTTTTGTCACTGATTGTACATTAAAGGCACAGTTCAGCCTTTTCAATGATGGTTTTTAAGGCGCATTTCAGCCTTCTTAATTGAAAAAACTAACTAGAAAAATCAATTATAGATGATTCAAGGATTTCAAGATCATTAAACTCTATGTTTTTAACAATAAAAATGTTTTAAAGTGCAAAGAACATCAAGCTTGCTGATCTTTAAATTATGCCTAATTGATTTTCCTGGTTAGTTTTTCAATTAAAAGGGCTGAAATGCACTTTAAAAACCATCACTCAAAAGGCTGAACTGTGCCTTTAATAATTACAGAGGTTGTGTGTGGGAAAAATCGTAACGGGAAAGGTGTAATTGAGATTTCATTACTACCTAAATCCAGATTATTTTATCCCACCCACATGAACACCCTAAACGCCCAATTGTCAATGACTCGTTATTCTACGACTATGTGCAATTACTTTATTGTCTAGGAGTTGTTCTCCCACAGCTAGGGCACGAAGCTGTTCCTCTGGAAGATGTGCAATGGCTTCACAAGTTCATGGAGAATGGTAGTGGGGATGGGACCGGCATTGCATCCTCATCCATGGATTGCAGGTACATGTACTCATTGTACTGCACAGCTCTTTCAGTTAAGGTTGTCTCCAAGCAAAGCGGAAAAGTAGAATACGAGCGTGAAAGGCTGCTCAGAATCACTAAAAAATTAATGAATTTAATAAAAATTAATCCCAGCAGCCTTTCGCGCTCGAATTAGACTTTTCATTGCTATCGTTTGTTTCCCTCTCAAAATATAGTTCTTGTTTATTGTCATTTTAATTGCGCCTGTGGTAAAAATTGCCACCTGTGGTAATGATCTTCAAGCGGGCCTGGGTCTCAATTTTTGAAACCAATTTGTCAATTTGAATTTTACCATACAGGACATTTAACAAAACGTTCATTAAAGTTTATTACGAGTCATTGGCTTCGTAAATAGCCTGAATGATACGGACAAAACATTCAAAGAAACATAATAAAGTGACTTAGTAAACAATTTGAATTCATCTCGATTTATGAGGAATACAAGTGGTGATGTACTCAAGTCACTGATGGCAACATACCATTACAAGAAATTGATTGAAACATACAAGTCAGCTGGTGTGGACTTCCGCAACCACAATTACAATCCAGAATGTGATCAGCACTCTGGCGGAATTCTTTCACAAAAGAGAAGACCATAACCATCTCATAAAAGGATCACCAATTGTCTGTGGTCTGGTGAAATACCCAATATTAGTTTGCAATATTTTAGAGATGCACCAAACGATCCATCAACTGGGTTGATGAAGTCCGCTTTTACTGCATGTTCTCAGTTGGGATGATTGATTTCATGCAGAAGAATGGTCATGTAAATGAAATGGTCTTCCTAACATTGGTGCACAATCGGCACAAAGCTTCTGATGGCAGAGAGGGCTAGACGATAATTATGACTTTAGCACCATTGATGTTAACAGGTACATACTACACTGAAATGTAAAGTAGAAAACAAGCACATGGAAAGCCTTTGTTTTAGACACAATTTTAAAGATTTTTTATAAAATGAAAAAGAATTGTTATGTGGATTACATGGAATGCGAATATGCATAAGAGGTTTATTACATGAATGGCAGAAACAAATTGCAAACTCTAAATTTACACAGTATAATTATGGTATTGTGAACATATTCGGTAAGGAGATATGTTACGTACATATTTTTGTACATTGTCGAGATAATACACCCTTCCAGAAATTACGTCATTTGGCTATAGAGCCTCGTTTTCTTGGATTTAACTAATCTCAAATACAAGCAAGTCAGTATGGCCAAATGATGTAATTTCCGGATTGGTGCAGTGTACATACATAATATCCATTGTCTTTAGACAAATTAAAGGTATTCAAGGGCTCACTAGAGAAATAATTATTGGCTTGACAACAAACATTGAAAGTCAGGAGCTGCGGCGATGCGAGTATAAATCTAGAGATCTTGTCCCGGAACACCCAAGTGCTGCTCAACCAATGATGTGGAAGGAATGGTTGGAATGCTCCATGTTTGACCATAAAACACTGCTTTGACCAAATGCCAAAAGTTTTCAATGAATTTGCAAAACGAATGGACATTGTACAACGAGAGGGACCATTCTGACCCTTTACCGCATTTGGATGCTGTAAAGATCTCACAGTGTGCTGATCCTGGTGTCTTTGTTGTGAACAGAGCACAATTGCCTCAGAAAAATAGTTTAAACCGTGCGTGCAACCTTTCACAGAGCGCCAGAAAGCTTGCCGCATTGAGTACGCATTTTCGTTTCTGCCGTAAAGCTTATATTGACAGATTGTATGCAGGGGAAGGACTTATTTTGCACTAGTACCTTACACTGTGCACCACAATGTGTGAATTAAATGCAGTTAGGCAAGTCAGAAAAATGTGACTAAAAAATTTTAATTGTTTTACCTGTCACCTAAAGCCTTTGAAAGAAACCTAGAAAATGAAATCTGTTGCACATGTCGCTAGACTAACTAATTTTACCATGATCAGAAAGTTCTTTCTGAGTATTTCTGATATTACATTACCAAATTTTACCAATGCACGCTGTACACAAGCAAGCCATGACTTCTTACAAGATTATTATTATTCAACAGACACATAATGTCATTGAACATCGAAAATCCTCTATTAATTCCACTCTTTAAAATAACTTCTTGACAAGAAATTCATTTAGTAAAGTTATTTATTCAGCTACAGGTGGCCAAGGGACCTTAAGCCCTTGCACAATGGTTTGTGTTTTCTTAAGTAACATAGAACCACAGAATTTGTAGCTCATTCAATATGGATTGTGTCAGCTTTGACTCTTTGAATAATCTGGACGAACTTTTTATAAAGTCTGGACATATATGTAATCTGCTTTTTCTTAACAAGATCTTCCACTACTTCTACACAAAACTGCTCATATCCTGTGTTGTCCAAAGGCATTGAAGTTGTTTCACATGTCTTATCCTGTCTATACAAAAAGTTAGTATAATTCTTGTATCAATTCTTATGGCACTTAACAACCTAAATGGCAACACAATCTTTGTCCAAAATTTGTAATAAGACCCTGTTGTCCTTTTTCTTTGTGGCAGCTTTTTGCAATAGACCTGCATCTAAAGTCTTGTATGCAACAAGGGGTGTTCTGTTGCCGTTTTCCTGATTTCTGTAATAAAATAAATTGGGAAAGTTGAATTAAAATTTGACAAATGGTTTTGGTCTGCGATTTACACTTGCAATTTATACAGGGGCAGAAACCATTTTCCAAACCAAGACTGGAAAAGCTGGACTTTTGATTCACCCCCTGTGGCCTGTCCTAGCACATATATGGTAGGGTAATGTTGGAATGAATATAATTGTAATTATTTCGCTATGTGATCACAAAACCTATATTCTCTAGCACGTCCTGTGCCATAGCCTTATCCAGTTTCAGGCCTTCCTTGGACTGATTCATAAACAAAAGCTTGTCCAGATAAATTATCAGCCGTATTCCAGCTCGGCAAAGATGAGCCATGACAGGTTTCATTATCTTTGTGAACAGCCTTGGGGCAGTGGCCAAACAAAAGGGAAGGCATGCAAACTCTAGGAGTGCACCTTTCCAGATGAAACAAAGATACTTTCCGTGATGGAAACACACTGGAATCACGAAATATACATCCTTCAGATCGATTTTCCTCAATCCTGAGGCTGAAGCAAATCGTGTTGCAGGTGAATGCCTTGAAATGATTTTCTTGGATGAATACATTCAAATCCTTTAGATTGATCACTAGGCGGGATTTCCGGTCCTGTTTCGGTACAAAAAATATGTTGCTTATGTACCAAAAACTGGCTGGAAATCGGTTTGACCACGTTAAATGCTCCTTTTTACAAGAGGGCGAAAATTTTGGTGTACATTTTCCTGATTCCAAATGTGAAAACCGAGTGGGTTCTATGATTTGATATTGAATGGGTGGTGAGGTGAACTCAAAAACATGTTCTCTACGGTTTAGGGATATGTGCAATGGTCCCATTGTTGGAATAAGGGATGTCGCTGGAGGAAAGTTACCTTTTACCAAATCAGTTGATGAAAACTGTGTTGAAGAAGGGACTGGTATACTAATTGCCTGCAATAGAACTGACAAGGCCAATCGCCAGGTTGGATGACTAAAAATTTCTTCAGGTATGTTTCTAAACCAGATGATACGGTGGCTCACACACAAACATAAAAATATACACACAAAAAAAGAATTGAACACACCAATAAAAATGTATAAGCTTGTAAATAAAAAATAAACGCAATGCAAATAAAAAAGAAACGCAATAATAAAAATTAAACATATAAAATTAATAAAAACAAAACAAATAATACAACTATGTATGAAATAAATAATTATTATGCAATGCACAAACAAAAAAAATATTAACACACATAAAAGAAAGTAAAATTGTGTGCACGCATGGCCTCACATAACCAGCGGTTGTACTGCGGGCGCATATGTTGCTGTATTTGTTATTCACAGCTTTTCACACGTGTTTTGATTACTTCCCAACGTTTTATAAGATTTTTATTATGTAATTCATTCATAAATTCATGACGTTTTGTTCAAGTTGTGGCGCTAAAGCTGTTGAATGTGCACTGTTCTGCCATCAATGCGGTTTTTCTGTTCAACAAGCTGGTGGTTCAGATGTATCACGGCTAGAAAATGCTTCAGCCAGTCCGGCCACGTGCAGCAAGGTTCCATCGCGTTTGCCGTCAGGTACCGGCCCTCCTCTGTTGACATTTACAGAGTTTAGAAAGCACAAGGAAAGCGATCAGCAAAAGCATTTCAACACCAAGTCCAAGGCTTCGGGAAAGCGAAAAACCAATGAAACTGACAAGGAAAAATTGGTTCCATGCAAAATAGCATTCAAGACCTATCGAGAAGACACTGGCTGTTTGACAGTGGTCAGAGGATCACAACATTCGCTTTCCATTTCTCCTGCCATCAATGCTTACGAGCTAAGAAGAAAAGCAGTTGAAAAGTTGAGCAGATTTAATCGCTCGTTGTCAAATTACCCGGAACATTATTGCCTGTTGTATCCTGATTTAACGTTAGTTTGCATGATTCCGGGGACTGAAACACCCTTTACGCTGAAGCAATATAAAGAGGACTTGGGAAAACCATACGAAAGACTTACTTTATACATTTGCAAAAGAGAAGACTACCTTGCCAACGAAGGCATTGATGAAGATGAGGATGACAACTTATCTTCAAACCAGGTAAGGTTATTGTGATTCTCTTTTATATGGGGGTGTCGTGGATGTTAAATGAATGTTAAAACCATCTAGTGCTTATAAAGTAGGGTGGTTCTGTAATAACATAAACTAGAGTCTAGGAATACAAGTCTGGCTCTGGGATTACCAGCTATTTATGATCAATAATACACGCCTAAAAATTATCACTTGTTTTATGAAAACAAGATGCAACAATGGTTGTGCTGCCCACAGCCCACATTATGCACCTATCAATGTTAAGCCCCAGGGGGGGGGGGGTCGGGAATATGTGGGGATTTGATTTTTTGAGCAAATTTTCGATCAAATGCCCCACCGTCAGGCAAAAAATATTGGTCAAATGCCCCACCGTTTTTCAATAAATTGCAGTAAATACTATATTAATAACAATCATGTGGTTCAATAATGATCAAAATGGATGGGTGGGGATGCAATTTACAATCAAATCCCACACATATGCCCCCCCCTGGGGCTTAACATTGATAGGTGCATTATTCATAGTTGTCAACAATATTGTTGAACATTGTTACACCTGATTGCGGGCTGAATCAGACTCAACAGTCAACAATGCT